TCAACCACTTTCTCATTTCCATCAAATGTGTTTGAACAAACATTTCCAACCAATTCGTCATTGCTCACCAGTGTTTACCGCACTGAATCTACAATTTCCACACTCTTGGTGAATTATTGTTCTAAGTTCCTACTTTGTTTTCTTTTTTGTTTCTCCACCCTTCATTTTAATTTCAGGAATCTTGGCTTCAATTTACTGAGTGGGTCTATTCCGTCCACCATCAGCAACTTGAGCAAGCTCGCGTTTCTGTGAGTTTTATCAAGGGAACTGAGAAGAGGGCATAACCTCCTGAGATATGCACAAGTACAAGAGAGACACCATATGGTGACACTGAGTCATTATGGTACGAACACATGCTAGGCACAGGGCTGACACTTAATTAGGCTCTCTTGAACCATGCCGGACCAGGACCGACAAGCCGGACATGCACGAAGGTCAGTCTGACATGCGTTCCAAACAAGTTGGTCCGACTAAGCCGGTCCAAGTTTGGCCCTATAACCATGTCTGTCTCATGCACGCATGCCAGCCTGGCAGTGTGATCATGTCTCATGACCCTCAGTAATGACATGATTGTTGTGGTATGTCACATTGGACTTGTGCAACCACACGTAAGAAGTACACAAGAAACGTATTGACCCCCAATGTTACACATGGAAAAACATGAGCCAAGCATAATTAAGCCTCCCGGCTGTACATAGCTGTCCAGCTGGGTATGTCTCTGTTTTGCTTTGGCAATTTTCTTGCCTAGTGGGCTCGTGGCCAACTGATTTGGGCCGAATCAGCATTTGCCACCATCCCTATTGTTGGTAATGTCTCCTATGTTTGTCAGCATTTGGGCACTTAAAACCCGTGGGTCAAGAAGGCCAAAACTGCCTCATCCTTCCTAATGTTGGCTGGGTGTCCCAAAATCGCCTGTGCTGATTCCCGAGTTCTATGACCTAGGCCAACATTTTCGTCACTCGTATTGGCTCACAGGCAAATACCGTCCTAACTCCCAACCAACCTTCCTAAGCTTGAATAGCTTGGCCTGCGGGTTTTAAGGCTCCTACAAAACTACGAGTAGGCATGCGAGCTGAGTCATTTCATGCCATCCACAAGCAGCTTGCTCGACGCCAAAAACAGGGCGATTCAGCTTCCAGACAGTGTCGGGAGGAAACTCTTCCGGGAAGCCTTTGGTTCGATCCATGAACACAGTCTTTTTTAGGTGTCCTTGCAGAAATGCCAAGGAGGCGTCCATGGATTTGATCTCCATGTTTTCTTGTGCGGCCACGTCCAAGAGCGTGAGAATGGTGGGTGGCTTGGCCAAGGGAGAGAATGTATTGAATAAGTCCAAGTACTGCTTTTGCTCCAGCCTAGACATGAGAAAATGGCGAACTAGAACGTGTTTGCTACGAGCTCCGAGAACACTACAAAAACAACCTCACTCGTGTTACTATCTGTCATCCATATTGCAGTGATAGTTTGGAACAACCTCACTGGTAACACGAGCTATGCTTTGACTGGGCCTATTACGTCTATTATATGTCATTCGTGTTGCAGTGGTTTCAGTTGGAACAACCTCACTGGTCAACTTTCTCCAACAATTGGAAAACTCACTTCTCTTACCAACCTGTAAGGCGTCTGTGCATAATGAAGTGTGGCACTGTCCATCATAGTAATCTTGAAGTGTTTCATAAAGAGGTAGTAAGGTGTTCCATTGGTGTACCCTGGCCCAAATTGTATTGCAGCCACAGGTAGGAGGTATACAAGGGCTGAATCTGCACTGGCCTGGCCCAGTCCTCTCCAGCCCTACTGAACCGTCCTGGTGTATGTCAGGCCGTATCGCTGGCAAAATAAACCCGGTAATTTCAGCCTGTAGGACAACTTGGCATGGTAAAGTAGTGCAATAACCTCAGAGCATTTATTCTGGAGCTGAAAAACATTTAATAATCATATTTTGAGAACATTCCACGTGTACACGCAGGTTCATGATTTCGACAAAAATCACATGCCCTCCTAACTACAACAGCTGCGTGGTCCCACAGACAATTTCAAGTGCTTTTTGCAGCGAATGTGGTCCCTTCTGCTCCACATGTGACAAGCCACCATCGGGTTAGTTGCAATCCCCTTAAGCAGGTGGCTGCAATAATAAATACTGCTTCTTTCGAATATGCTCTCACTAATCCTGACAGGATGAGCACTACTTTGTCGTCCACATAACAAGCTTTTCCAATGTCATGCATAGGGAAGGGCAAGGGGCAAACACGAACGTGTTCGCGTTCGCCCCTGGACGAACACCGCCGTTCGGCGAACCGAACACTGTTCGGTTCGCCGAACACCTTATGGAAAAATTGGTGTTTGGTGTTCGCCTGTGAATGCGAACACCTTGCTGGCATTGGCGAACACGAACATGTTCGTGGCAAACACGTTCGTGTTCGCCCAGGAACAACTTTCACTTCAGTCACACATGGCAAATTTCAGCTACTTTGAGTGGTTGGACTGTTCTTATCCCTTCATGGTTGCTGCTATGTACTTAAACCTCGACTTCTTCATGTTTCCTCCATTCTATTACTCCAGTGTGTACCCCAAAATGTTCTATGATGTAGTAGTGATGCTCGTATTACTCCTAGAAAACGGCGGTAGTTGGCATTATAGGGCTGGGCGCTAAGGTCGCGATTAGTTTGGGCTCAGAGAATGAGCTCAAACACTAAGACCCGCGACCTAAAAGTTGATCGTGGGCCAATTCGTAGATCAACACATTGGTGTCCGTCGAAGCCCCAAGTCGAACACGAACGCTTTCGTGTTCGTCGCGGCTCGGCAATCTGACGAAAACCAACATCGAATGTGTCCGCGCAAACAGCGAACACGTTCGTGAGAAACATTTTCAGGTAAAAAAATAGCCTGTTCGAGGCGAACCGAACAGGTGTTCGTATCTGTGCTCATCCCTAGTCATGCACCCACGGCCTAGCCACGCTTCATAATTTGCAATCCCGACCATGCTGTGCTTCTGTTGTATGCCCACTCATTGCATTTACTGCTTCAGCATTTGATAGCCCTTGTTTTCTCTCCTGTACCTTATCTCACGTCCCCTTTCACCTCCCCATTGCCTGTGCCCACACCCTCTCCACCGCCAGTACCAACTCCCTCTCCACCTCCTCCATTCCAGTCTGGAGGCGGTTTATCCAACGGAGCCATTGCTGGCATTGCTGCTGGTGGTTGTGTGGCTGTTATCGTGCTACTTCTTCTAAACTGGATTCTGTGCAAGCGATGCCGCATGGAAGTGGCAGCAGAAGGAGGTGATAATGGCACTTATGTGGATGGTAAAAAAATGGCAGATCAAAGTGTGCACCAAGGTAAGACATTTCTATAAACTCTCAGCCCAGATCAAGCAAGGCAATCACAATGAGAAATGCGTATAAACAAAACCAAATAGTCACAAGCTAATTCCAATGAGGATCAACAAAAGCAAGTGGTCACAAGCATATTCAAATGGGTATCATCAAGAACCAAACAGCATCAAACAGTCAATTGAGTCAACAAACTCATAGGCTATTTCTTGCCACAGACCAGCCTAGTTCCTGAGGCCGTCCAGGCAGGCGGGTGGTCCTGCCGAGCAATGCGAGCTGAGAGTTTTTAGGGGCTCGGCTGCCTTCGCAGCAACCTACGCACGCAAAATAATGGGACAATCCCCATCTGTGCCAACAGGGCTGAGAGAAGGCATTCTGATGCCAGAATGTAATGTCCACGGCACTTGGGATGCTCTTGTCTCACCACACAAGAAGTTGATGTGGAAAGAGTGGACGTGAGCACCGAACCCACATCTGGCCGTTTTAAGCCTTTCTTCCCAGGCACCTGCTCCACCAATCTGGCTGACTGCTCCGCCACAGCCAGCGCTCGCTGGAGCTTAGGTCTGAGCTGTGAAGGCCACTTCTGCTACTACAAGGCGATGGAGAAAGAGGGTTGATGCTGAGAAGGCATCGGCATCGAGTAGGTGTGTGGGTGAGTTGTGAAGCGACCGAGTGAAGGGCGGGTGGAACGACTAGAGGAGGTGGGTGGTGGAGATGCCGGAGGCAAGGGAGGGCTTAATGCCATCCACAAAAGGTCGGTGAGGCCGAACCCAGTGAGAGTGATGGGCAGGGCCGCTTGGGAGAGGGCCATGGAAAAGACCCCACCTGCTCAAGTGGGTCAGTGAGGCCGAATCCAATTGGAGTCGAGTGCTTTTACTGCCATGAAAAGCACCCTGCCTGCTCTACGTAAAATGGGATGCGGGGAGATGGCGAGAGGAGGGTAAGGTAAGGACTTGAGCTAGAGTTCTGGATTTGGGTCTATTGTCAGCTGCACAGCCGTAGATGTGGCAAACCTCCACTTCCAAGATTTTTCCAATGTGCTCGCAGGTCCTTCCTGGGTCCTAAGTGGAGTACATAGTTGAGGACTCCAGGAAACTTGGCTGCTCATCATTCTCCTTTTCTTTCACCAACTCTCACATGCATTTGCAGAACCAAAGGATGCAGCAGTAGAAGGGGTGACCACAGCAGCTGCAGCAGCTGCTGCAGCAGGACTACCATTAGCAGCAGCAAAAGGGAGGAAGAGTGATGGTATTGTAGTGGAGATGGATGCAACACGGCCATACGTGTGTCGAGAGTACTCTCTGGCAGAGCTGGCCAAGGCCACGGGAGAGTGGGCAGAGGGGAACAAGATAGGAAGTGGCAGCTTTGGAGATGTCTACAAGGGTGTGTCGCCCCATGATTGCAATCAAGCCTGGGCGGTCAAACGAGCTCGAGTGCTCACCAACGATTTCCAAAGAGAGGTATCTTGTTGTGAGTTTCCGTTGGTATGTTAATGCCAGAAATATTGCTGGTTTGTTCTTGCAACTCCGAGGATGCTCGTTGGTTGCATAATTCATTGTCCTTTGATCAGTTCACTGTTTCCCCTCTCAGGTGAAAGAGATGGCAAGCAAGCACCATCCACATCTCGTGCGTCTGCTGGGCTATTGTATTGATTTGGATCTTTCAACTCGAATCATGGAGCAGATCCTCATTTACGAGCTCATGCCCAACAACGACCTTGAGAGCTGGATTGGTCTTGATGTCCCTGACCCTCTTTCACTTCGCCAAAGGCTGGACATTCTGATAGGAGTGGCAAATGGTTTGAAATATCTTCATGACTTCGGCATTGTACATCGTGACATCAAGCCTGCCAACATTCTCCTTGATGCAAAAATGCAGGTGTGCCAAAATACTTTTAAGTTGCAGGTATGTCAAGAATGCAGGTTTGTAAAAAATGCAGGTATTTAGATAATGCAGGTATGTAAAAAAAGCAGGTATGTAAAAAATGCGGGAAGTTGCAGGTATGTCAAAAATGCAAGTATGTCGAAATACTTCTAAGTTGCAGGTATGCCAAAAATGCAGGTATGTCAAAAATGCAGGTATGTCAAAACTGCAGGTATTTAAAAAATGCAGGTATGTAAAAAATGCAAATATGTAAAGAATGCAGGTATGTAAAAAATGCAGGAAGTTGCGTACTCGTATCAACTATCAAGTGATATTTGAGCATGCTTCTCATGTTGCAAATTAGTGTTGTTGTTATTGATGGCCAGGCCAAGATTGCGGACTTCGGACTTGTGAAGTTAAGTGGAGGCACCGCTTTGGGCGAGTCTGTAGCGGCCACTAAAGTGATGGGAACACCAGGCTATGTGGACCCTGCCTACTACAAGTCTCACAAGGCCACTCTAGCTGCAGATGTGCACAGGTGAGCAGAATGGTGCAGGTCACTAGATCGGTTAAAATATCAGTGCAAGTGAGGAGCACATTGACATGGAAAGTCCATTCCAGCAAGCATATAGAGTGGATAGGAGAAATCCACCTGGAGTGCAGAGTCCATGCCTCTCACTTAGGGGCAATTTATGGCTTGCATTGACGGCAATCCCAGCCCAGGCATGGATGACCAGCCAAGTGTTTGGTGATGCTCGACTGTATAAGGTACAGGCTTCGGACACAATCGCTTGTGAAATAATCTACTACCTGAGGTGTGTGCCTTTCAGCGTCCTTTCAAAAACGATTTCATTTGTTGCTTGGTTCGCAGTTTTGGCGTGGTGATGTTGGTGGTTATCACGGCGCGCAAGGCTGTGCATGTTACAGGGGACAACCAGATCAGTCTCAAGCAATGGGTGAGACACAGTGAACAATGGTATCCCAAGGCTAGCGGAGGTATTGCAACAGAACATATGATAAAGCCAGATGCGGAGATAACTCTAGTAACGGGAGCTAGACTACGGGCTAGGCACGGATGCTCGTGTGATCTCTGCGTTCTCTGTTCCTTAGTCGTTTCCTAGTGTACTCACTGCTTGCTAGTTCACAAGGCAATTTGGCAAGAGTTTCACTAGAGAAAAAGTGGACAACAATGATACAATGAAGTTGGCTAGGCAAGACTACATCAGAGCTAGGATGCAAGCAGGTCGACTGCCAGCGCGGCACGGTCGACCGCGTGCCAGCACGACTTGGTCGACCGCGCTCCAGCAGTGCAGGGACGCGGCTTGCCAACGCTGCAGGTCGATGGTGTGACAACAGCGCAAGTCGACGGCGTGCCAGCGTTGCTCCTGCAGTCCAGCATCGCACCAGCTTCGCAGGTGCTCGTAGATGATTGGCGCGCACTGCTTCGTCACCTGCACAGCGTACGCACCAAGTCCACCTTGTGCTGACGACTGCATCTCATCTGCCAGGTCGACCTCGGGATACCACCACCGGGGTCGTCCTTGCCAACCTCGCCTGGGCGACCTTCGCGTGCCTTCGCAGACCCTCGTCACCCAGGTAACCTGGTCGACCGGGCAACCACGTCGACCAGGTGCTCCTGTGCGTGCCTGTCGACCTCCCAAGTCGACGGCCACCTCCAGTCGACCTCACCAGGTCGACCACGCCCTCTGGTCGACCAACTCCAGGTCGACGACACTCCTTGTCGACCACCTCCAGGTCGACCAGCACTCCTGTTGGCCGACCACCCAAGTCGGCTACCCCAGGTCGGCGTCCCCAAGTCGACGCCCTCTGCAGGTCGACTTCTCAAGTCGACCACTCGAAGTTGGCGCCCTCCCAAAGTCGGCGCCCTTGCAGTGGCTTCCGTGCAGGTCGACCAACCCCGTCGACCGGCTCGCCCACTACTGCAGGTCGGCTGCACCCCTACACCCGACCAGGAAGTCGGCTCCGCCCAAGCGAGGACGGGGCCAACACCCAACTCCCGTTGACACCAGATACACTGTGAAGCTGGTGAATCAGGTTCGTCTGTTAACACCGCTCTTCTAAGTTGTTCTTGCTGCACTTCGCCAAGTTGATATTCTCCTTACCTCCTTCCTCAGCAGGAAACTTGTTCCAATCAGCAGGAGAGGTGTACTGTTCATAATTATTCAGCTTTTGCCTTCCCTCTTAGATGTGACACAATTAACCTTCCAATCACTCTGGTTCTTGTCTTCCTGGCGCTAATTCATTGAACACATACATCCTCCCATGCGATCCATCCCCCTCTCTATTCTCATTTCTGCAATGCTTATACCCTTTGAGAAATCTTCACTTTGTGTAACGCTCGCTGAGCCTTTCTGAGAGAATATTCCATGTGGCATATCAATACAACCTGGCAGGTGGCCCCATTGGTGGAATCAAATGCTGCGGCATCATTCAAAGACCCTCGTTTGGATGCGCCAGATGATTTGGTGCTGCGCTTGGCTCGTCTTGCCCTCTCCTGCACTACCATGCCTGCAGCCTCCCGCCCCTCCATGAGTGAAGTGCTGGGAGAACTGTTGAAGGTTAAGCAGGAAATTTTTGGAGCACAGGTGAGCGAGGCAATATTGCGCATTGACATGGAAGTTGGAAGATCTACTAGTGCCCCTTCTTTCACTGCTGAAATAGCTCGTGCAAAGCGCGCGGCGATGCCAAGTGGCTCTTCCACCAGGATATCGTAGACTTAGTTTTAACAAGCACCTTGTTCGTTTATGCCGCAAACTTGAAACCAATGGTCTTGGCAACATGGATATGGTAATATGTGGGTTGGGAGCAAAGAGGCCAAATGATATGCAAGTCTGAAGGGACATCAATGCCATGGTCACAGCAGCTGTGATGGGTTGTGGACTACACTTGATTTAGTAGCTCTAGCACGCTTGTCGTTGCGCTAGATTTGAATGTCCGACACGCATTCTGATTTTGGATGCTCTAGCTGTTGCATGCATGGTATTTGCTAAACTAGCCTGATAGTGTGTGGCTTTTCCACAAAGGACTAATTCTCTTCTTGTCATTGAAGCATCACTTGACCATTCAGATAGAGAACTAGTACATGAGCACAGTTCAGGCCCCATAACCGATCTAATAAAATACCCCTTGCAACTGACGAATCCATAGGGTCCTTGCTATTAGACTGTTTTGTATGTTGTTCTGAAATATCTGACGGTTTTTTCTTTACGCTAATCTGATTTTTGAGAACTGCTTCAAGAGTGAAACTTGATGGATCAGAAACGATTTGAAGGATTTGTCTGAAGTGTGTGTAGCTACTCATTTGAAATATCAGGTACTAATATCAGTTCCGTATGAAACCGAAACGTTTTCAGTCTGCCGTGATTGACGTCTGAGTTACGGGAAGTGTGTCAATCACGGCATGAGCAGTTTTGTCGAAATCACATGTTGGAGTGTTCTCCTAGAGAGGTGACCACTAGGACGTTCGCCCGAACTTTTTTTCAATTTCGCTATAGTTGTTCACACTATAATCACGTTCACTTTGACATATATGTGGCATTGGTTGGGTCAAAATTTCAAAAACAAGAAGCCCTATTACAATCTTAGCCAGCATCAGCCTCAGGATTGTTTGCGTAGAGATATTGCAGTACCGTCACCCCCCGGATATAAGCGCCACCCTGGGATAAGCGCCAGGCGCTTGTAATTGGCATATGGCGCTTATATCCGCTCCTCAATTATAAGCGCACCCCCTGAAAAAACTTGTTTTATTACAAGCGCGTGTAAACTAAAAAAAAAAAGGAATTGGTTCAAAACACTGTAACGATTTTTACTTTAGCAGGCGGATGCGTTGCAAATTCGGTTCGCTTCACATTTGAACCCTGCACTGGATGCGAGTCCAGTCAGCAGGAGCTGTCAGGGGCACCTTGTGAGTCACATCGAGTATATCTCCCAGTGCGCGCAAGAATTTCACTGAAGACACCATGCAACTTTGACTCAACTGAAAAGTCAAGCACGGGATCTACAATTTGGTGTTAGAAAATATTGATTGTATACATGTCATTTTATAAGCGCCCGTGCTTATAAATTTGACTTGATCATAAGCCCACCCCCCTAAAAAATCCTGTTTAATTATACCCCCCCATAGGGGCTTATCTGGGGGGTGACGGTAGAAGTAAATTGACTCCTAGTCAGAGTAAATGCAAAATGATTAGATATACAGAATATAGGGAACTTGAAACGACCTAGACTAGCCATGTACTCTAAGGGGTACATTCCCTTATGTGGCGCGGGAATCTATGCAGGGTAAATAGAACTATGCGGCGCGAGAATCTGTTTCATACTTGTTTCGGCCCTTTTCATTGGCGATGCAGTTGCCGATGATTCTGCTGCTGACGGTCTAGATGCTCCAATTGTACACGACCCTTCGCGTCATCCTGGCCGTTTCCATTCATACCGTAAACGTCCATAGTCAGCGACGAATTGAACAAGCAAGTGCCAATAGGGAAGGGTTTTGCCAGCACAGGCAGCTTCGCCGTGTCCCTCACGTGACACATGGTGGCGATGCATGCATCAACCCCCAAGGTCTGCCGAATTCGATGAATCTGCCACTTGGGTGGTTTCAATAAATTATGTAAATGTTACAGAGTACTTTTGAAAAAATGTCCATCTATAAGACTTATACGGTAAGACACCCAGTTACGAGACAAATCTAACATCTTTTCTATTGTTTAAGATATGACTTTTATCTGGGCAATGATGGTACTCGATTGCACCCTTAGCATTACTGTTACGTACAGGAATGCTCTCATGATTTCCATATCATATCAAACCCTACCAACTTTCTAACAAATTCACTACCACTTCTAGGGCATGTAAGATAGCAGCGCCATTGACAAACATACTGAATAATGATACGCCTTATAGATGGGATACTCCTCAACAACAAGTCATGGGTTAGCAACACACAACGGTAACTACAGCGTCGGTACTCATCCTACCGGATCCAGATAGGAACTACGTGGTAGAAGTAGACGCTAATGACCCGGCAGTCGGAGCAGTACTGATGCAGGATCACGACGCGGTTTGCGGCCCATCGCCTAACTCAGTAAGAATCTACACGGAGAAGAACTGAACTACCCAATCCATGACAAGGAAGCCTTAGCGATAGTTTCGGCCTTCAAGGCATGGATGTGTTACAGTCTACACTGACCACTGCAGCCTCAAATACCTGAAGTCGCAGCCGACGCTCTCACGACGATGGGTGTGGTGGATAGACTTCTTGAAAATTCACTTCCACTACGACATCACCTACAACCCGGTGCTCCACAATAAGGTAGACACGTTGAGCTGCCCCAAGTGGAAGCATACATGCATGGTGTGTACACACACCCACACGCACTCACCACGCCGTGCTGATGCGCTGTCAACTGCGCGTTCCGCCCCATGCCCCCCTCAAGTGGAAGCATACATGCATGGTGCATACACACACCAACACGCACTCACCACGTCGTGCTGATGCACTGTCAACTGCGCGTTCCGCCCCATGGCCCCTCCTGGTGGGGGAAATCTGCTTCGCAGCGCCTCTATCCCCTCCTTGCACTCCCTCAATATGCTGCCCACCTGCACATACATAGAAAATTGGAGGAGTAAGCACACAGGGAATGCGAGGAGCAGACACATGCAGCAAGCATCCAACTCGACGGAATGAACCCTCTGCTCAAGAATCTATTCAGACATGGGTACTCCATGGACGTAGAGATCGTTACAGCACAAAAACAAAAGCTGCCACAGTGGGAGAAGGACTTTACAGTAAGGAAGGGTTGAGGAAAGATTTGGGTACCGAACTATGCCCCGTTCCGGCAGATCATAGTAAAGAAGTTTCACGACGTAGCATATGGGGGACATTTTAGGAGCAACAAGACGTTAGCAGGAATAATAAAGTATTACTAATGACCCTGGATGGCAGCAGACGTGCAGCAGTTTGTCACCCCATGAGACACATGCCAGCGAATGAAGCATAGCAGGCAGAAAAAAGCAGGGTTACTTCAGCCTCTACCTGTACCAGAGTAGTCATGGCAAGTCGTTAGCCTCAACTTCATTGGTAAGCTTCCTTCGACCTAATGAAGTCATGACGCTATACTCGTGGTGCTTGATAAGTTCTCTAAGATGGGACACTTCATCCTGACCAACGCTACGGCTACTGCTGAAGCAACTGCTCGCCTCTTCTTTGACCGCATCATCACCATCCGCAGCATCCTTGCTACACTCATCTCGGACAGAGACCCAAAAACCACAAAAAGGTTGTGGAGGGAACTCATGGGTTTGTTGGGGACAAAGCTTGCAATGTCTTCAGCGTACCACCCCAAACTGATGGACAGAATGATGACCGTCCGTGGGTAAGATTCGCACCGCCCCCTCTGAGAGGGGTGGAGGTATCCCAGTCCCCCCGCGGTCGCATCGTCAGGCTTTAATGAAAAGGCGGGAACCGGGATAAAGGCGTCTGAGAGTGCAAGCCTGCAGCAACATATACAGTAGTAGCAGCAGCAGCAAAAGAAAGAGCAGCATACCCACAGCAGCAGTATGCCACAAAAGCAGCCAGAGGAACGTTAGGAGGAAGAGGAAGAAGCGATGGGTCTCTAAGTAAGCATCCCTCCTCTCTACAACGAGATTCCAATTGGATTCAACAGCAGCAGCTGAAACTGCAGCTCATTTCTTTGGTAAACTCCATCTTTTTCAATTCTTCCACCACTAACACCACCCCTACCAATTCCTCCTCCTCCTCCTCCTCCTCCTCCTCCTCCTCCTCCTCCTCCTCCTCCTCCTCCTCCTCCTCCTCCTCCTCCTCCTCCTCCTCCTCCTCCTCCTCTGCCTGCCCACCCAACTGCGCCCACCACTTTCCTGCGTGCAAGCTGCTAAAAAAAGCAGGAGCAGCAACGGTTACAGCACCAGCACCGTCCATTCTAGCAGCCTTATCCGCACCAGCCCATTCTATACTCGCAACACTACCAGACGTTTCAGCGCCAGTGCTAGTGCTAGTACCGGTGCTGCTACTAACGGATCTTTTTTCTTCACTATTGGAGGGGAGATCTCCATAGGAAAAGTGAGCATTCTTGCGCTCTGTATAGCGCTCCTCGGTATTCTGCTGCAAGTAGTGGCTCTCTCTCCTCCCTGCTGGCCCATGGTTGTTACACACGTGCTAGGTGGGCCATCAATAATCAAGGCCACCCCCATGTAGTCACACCAAGGACTGGGTTTAGCAGCAGTGGTTTTGGCGGCAGCAACAATGCCGGCAGCAAGAATGGTAACAGTGGCAGCAGTAGTAGCAGCAGCAGCAGCAGCAGCGGCGGCAGCAGCAATGGCAGCAAGAATGGTAACAGTGGCAGCGACTCAATTAGGGGGTGGAACAGTTACTACGCACATCTTGCAAAGATGACATCAGCCAATGGGACCTATAGTTACCGACGCTAGAGTTCGCTAAAAACAACGCTTCACATGCAGTCACATAAAAATCTCCTTTCGTCTTGTGCTACGAAGAAGAGCCACTTACACCACAGCACCCAACTACACTAGCACACGTCCAAGCCACACACGACTTCGGCACCACTCCATTCCTGTTAACACTCTCTTGCCGCGCTCATGCTTGGGCTCCCCCTTAATTGACGGGGGAAGAGCTACATGGAGAAAGACTCATCGCCAGCGTGCACCCAACGCACAGCACGCTCTCACTGCACCAGCCGTGCAAAAGGGCATGACACCTACTGCTGCACGTCGTTGTCGCCGTCACCAACGTCGGTCAAGCGGCGGAGCATCGATTGAAAATTGGTCGGCTGCTTGGAAGTCGGATGTACTTTAGCACAAGCATCCCATGCTTCACCATCTGATGCAGCCAAGCATAGCATTGCTCTATGTGCTTGGGGTTCCCTTTCAGCCCCAAGCCCTTAGTGGCCGTGATGGCTGACTTGGTGTCCACCCGAAGGACAGTCGGCTTCCCAGCGTCGAGCATCCGGAACTCTACAAGGAGGGAACGCAGCTGACGAGCCTCTTTGCCGCACGACATACTCTGACTCGGTCAATGAAAGCATCGCGCACTTGATGCGCTGGCTCGACCAGGAGGCGGAGGCCCCTCTAATGACGAACACATAGCCGCCCGTGCTCGTCCGGTTCTGCTTGTTGCTAGTGTCATCACCTTCCGCGTAGCAGACCACAGTGACTGTGGTCCACTGCCGAGATCTAGGGCGACACATTTGCTTGTCATTCCTCTCCTCGGCAGAATGGTGTTGCTAAGCGTCGCGATCGTAGACTCTTAGAGATTATTGGTTGTCTCTTCACCCATGCCTCTTCTTCTCCTTTCTCTAGAGCTATGCTCTTATTCTTGCCACTCTACTTCCTAACCTTTTTTGCTCATCATCTACGACCCACCATTAACCCCTTTCATCTCTGGACTATCTGCCAGCTCTGTGCCCACCCTCTTTGGGAGTAAGCCTGTGTCGCTCATGTTCTTGTCAATCTGGCTGACAGGACGTGGCAATGTGAGAAACTCACTACCATGATGTAACTCTGTAAGGTCATTGGTACCAATGCTGACGGTCCTATCTACACTCCCTCCTTTTAGCAGCTCATTCGCAGCCAAGATGTCATCTTTGACAAGACTCGCTCTCCATTCTTCAAACCAAACCCACCCCCCCTCTCTCCCCGCCCCCACTCCCCCCCTCCCCTACCCAGTCTCCCAATTCTCTACTCCTTGGGGAAAATTACAAGCAGCGCCAATGGTCGTATCTGTATAGGTCACAAACTGCTCGACACAAGCTTTCATCAATTTTCATGACTCGCCATGATTTGTCATAAGTGATGATGAACTTGTATTGAAACAACTAGAACAACATGAAAGAAGGATGCACACAAACACGAAGAAATGTGCGACGTTTTGAAGGTAGCTGGTTGACGTGCAAGGCACCCAACAAGACCTTATGGACTTTCTGTAAAATTTCAACAGGATGTATGGTGGTGCAGTTTTATACTTGGGTTTCACTGATGGGTATGGCATATTAAGTATCAATATATCTTGAATGTTTTTTGTCTATTGTGCATGCACAACAACCAAATTTCCTTGGATATAGGCCAACCCCTGTTTTTGATTTTGCCCCAAGGCTTAACATAAGGAAAAGGGGCAATAAGGATTTTTCAAATTCCCAATTCGTTGAGATTTTTTGCAGCTGAATAACATGACACAAGTGCATTTGTTCAATAAGGGCCATGGCTTTTGTTTGCTTGCTTGTTCATTTTTGTTTCAGATTTTTTTTTTTTTTATGCTACCATTTGCATTCACGCCTGTCAGCCTCCCATTTCGTGTTCGTACGTTGCATGCGTGGTGTGAGCGCGTGCAAAATTTTGTGATTGGCATGGTTTCGATGTTTTAAGTGTGTGTGAAGTTTATTTTATCCAAGCAAATATCTGAAATGACTCGTCTGCTTAAGAGCTTTCTGATGAAGTAAGAATCGTCCCGATCCGAGCACGGACGAGAAAGTTGCGAATATTCAAAGTTCCTATGCTTTTCATATTTGATTGCGGCGACTTTGGGAGTTTGTTGAGTGATACTAAATGGATAAGGGACCATTGGGGGTTGAAATTTTTGTCACTATACTGTAGTTGGTGCAAGGTGGTTGGGAGGAGAATTCAAACTGGGTTGCCAAGTGTGGCCAAGTTGGTGTGAGGTGGATGGCATGGGTTGGGAAAAAAAGGACAGAAATAACGTTGGGTTAATATAGGGAAAGAATTTTGTGAACCTATGGGGTTTGGCCGGTTTGGGACTCCCGTGAGACCTTTCTTCTCGTCCTCCTCAATCTCTCATACTTGGTTTTTTGTTAATCTAATTGCTTTGTATGATTCTTCTTAAATAATTGTGATTGAGTTAAGTTTGAGTTTGTTTTTAATATAAACGCGTGTTCACAGGAAATGCTTGCAGGGCCCACTATTGCGTAGGCTATTTGACTACGTGTTAAAACTGCTGGTTGTTAGAATGTTGAATAATGGTTGTTGTAAATTGGAATATTGAATGTAATTCTGAAATCCTCAATTCCCAAAATAAAACAAAAACAAAATCCAGATTTAAATGATTCGGTCACGAAATTGCACCAAAACGGATTGCGCGCGAATGTCTTCCGGAAAAGCACGCGTGCCAATTTGGAACTTGACCCGAGCCAAGCCTTGTCGCGAGATGTGTGTCGGAGCTCCTATCAAATGACTCCAACCGTCGGTCGAAATTGGGTCCGGATTTTTTTACGCGAAGACAATCGCAATCAAAATTCGTCCAAACTTGGCATAGGGTTTTTGTGATGCTATCCTCAAGCTGACGTTCGCCAACTTGCAATAGAAGGTAAACTCCCTGTCGTACGCCCTCAGCTTCCTGAAAACGTTTTTAATTTGGAAGTCGGCAAGTAGTTGCTTCTTCCCGTTGTTCTCTCTCGACACACCCTACCGATTAAACTTGTCCAGTATAGGGTCCTCTATCATGTTGAGGTCCCTAGCCACCACCAGCTGCTCCCCTCTTGGTGGTGCCATGGCGAAATCTATAAAGTAAAGACCAAGGGAACTGCCCCATGGAGACCCTCGCGATGGGAAATAGGCCGCAAGCAACCTCGTCTGCCTTGACCCCCAGCACAGCCGAGCGAGAAGCAACCTGCCTGATGGATGCCGCTGAACATCCTCCAGCTCCACTCTTCCTCAAAAACAAAAAATAACTACCTTGCCTACTCTGGTCGGGGCTGCAGCTGCGGCCACACTGTGAGGTCGGTGTCCCATCTAGAAATTACGATCTTCTGCTGTACATGTGTCTACCAAGTTCACCACATCTGCCGTCTGTTAACGGGAATGGAGTGTTGGCCCCGCCCTCGCTTGGGCAACGCCGACGACTTGGTCGGATGTACGGGTGAAGCAGCCGACCGTTCACAGTGAAGGAGCTGCTCGACGGGCTTCGTCGAGCTGCAGGATGTCACTGTGGAGCTTCCGTCGACCAGGGGTGCTCGACGGGCGCAACTGACTGGCCTGGGCGATGGGTGGGCCGTCCGGGAGGTCGACGGAGCAGTCCGTCGACCTACAGCTCGACGGGGAGGTCTCTGGAGCATCCCGTCGAACTGCAGCTCGACCGGGAGGACTGGGGGGCATCCCGTCGACCTGCAGCTCGACCGGGAGGTCCGCGAAGCATCCCGTCGACCTGCAGCTCGACCGGGAGGTCGACAGAGCAATTCTGGTCGAAGGAAGGGGTCCGTCGACTAGGGGGCAGCTCGACGGGAGCCGTGGTCGACCAGAAGGGCCTGGTGGTCGACCGGAGGCACCTGGTGGTCGACCGGGAGCATCTGGTGGTGTCCAGGTCGACCGGGTAACCTGCTCGACGAGTTCTGCGGAGGCACGCGAACGTTGTCGAGATCGCGATGACGAAGGCGACTTCGGAATGGTATCCCGAAGTCGATGTGGCTCGTCAGGCGCAGACAACAACCGACGGATGCCCAACGAGGCAACTCGGGCCAATCGTTTGCGCGCACCTGTGAGCATGCGCATTGCTGTCTTCTACGGGGCAACGCTGGACAGCCGCTCTGCTGCAGCGTTGGCACGCCGTCGACCTGCTGTGTTGGCAGGTCGCTCTTCTGCAGTGCTGGCGCGGCTCCTCTACGCAACGCTGGCACGCGGTCGACCATGCAGTGCTGGCGGTCGACCAGGCTAGCTGCAGAGTTGCTAGGTGCCTGATGTAGTCCATTCTGTCATTGCTTGTTCAATCATTCTGTAATTCCAACTTTGCTAGTGGAAACTCTTGCCAATTTCTCCCATCAATGTGCAAGCTCTAAGGAACCAAGCAAAGCTACGATCACTCATAGTAGTTCGTGCCAACCCCCGTAGTCTAGCTCACTACCGTTGTAGAGTATATCTCCACATGGTGCGGTGAGCGTGGACGGCCCCGCAAATTAC